CAACTTGGGTTTTGTTTTCCCTCCTCATGGAAAAGTTTGGAAAAATGAGCCAACATTCAATGAACATTTTTCATGACCATTTTGTCCCCATTAACAGTTTAAAATTACAGTATACCATTAAATGTACCCTTTTTTTATTTGATTTAATATGGGTAGAATTGGAAAATTATACAAAGTTTGTTATCCATTCCTACTCAAAACAAACATAGGAAATGAAATAAAATGAAATCTCCTAGTTACTTTCCCGACATTACCAAACGTGGTAAATGATTTTCCATCAATTCCATTCTGTGAACAAGCGGGCTAAAAGCCCAAACAAAAAACCAATTGGCACTCAACCGGCTAGTAAAAACGAAAGGAAAGGAAACAGAGCAGGGTTTTAGAGGGTTTTAACCTTTGACAACAAACGTCTTCCCTTCCCTTTGTCTGTGTGTTGAGTCTTAACAACTAGAACCCTTCAACAAGGCATCGGCCATGGGCGTTGCACAAGACTCCTCGGCCAACCCTCCAAAGAACAAGAAGCAAAAGTACTCTCTCTCTCTCTCTCTCTCTATATGTATATATATATCTTGTAAAAATTGTTATTTGTTGATTATCAATAACAGTTTCTGGCAAGCGTTTAGGGCTCTTGGTGTGATTCTAATTTTCGATCTCTTACTATTCAAATTAGGTCTAATGATGGAAAGCAAATTCCTCCTTCGGCCATTGATAAGGAATTCCTCGCCGCTCCTATCAAATCTGCCACGGACAAATTCGCACTTCTGCCGGAGTTTCTAAAGGTTTGAATATTGTCAGATATTTATTTCTGAATATTGGTATTGTTGTTATTGCCATCGTTGCTATTGTTATTATTTGCATTCGGTAGTTTAAAAGAATTCATATATAGGTGAGAGGGCTGGTAAAGCAACATTTGGACTCGTTTAATTACTTTGTGAACACGGGAATCAAGAAAATTGTTCGTGCCAATGATCGGATTGTGTCTGGCGTCGATCCAAGTATTTATCTCAGGTTGAGTTCTTTTTTTTTTTTTATTGATTTTTCTTATGGTTCGTATTTCCCTGTTTTAGTAGGAATAAAATTTTCCTGGTTGTGTGATTGTGCTTGCTTAGTTGGTAACCTTATCTCTAATGTCATTGCTTGAACTTCAGTGATGAAATTTCATCAGGAAAATACATACAAATGAAACAATTAAAATGTATGTAAGCTGTTTCCAAGATCTTCTATTCAGTCTATTGACTTGTAAAGGAACATTCTAAAATAGAAGAAAAGCTACTGAAACCCCAGATCATTCAATTTCGTAAAAAACTAACATTCTAACTTATTGGGAATGAGGAATCCCCAGACTTATTGGCAATTGGAGCACTATTAGAGTTGGAAGTCTATAAAGTCACGGGAAAGATGTGCACAGGGGAAATTTCCCTATCTGCGAAGTCTCCTAAAACCAAATCTGTTCCCATTCCCCACCAGTAACCAGAGAAAGGCAAGAAAGAGCTAAAACCCAGAGACATGTCTTTCCAGGCTTGTTTTAATTTCTGTTAAATTGTATCAGAAATCTGGAAAGTGAATATTACCCTATATAAAGGCTGTTTAAAGGGTTTGAACGTTTCAGGCAGTTTAATATATACTTGTCCTTTTTGTGAAGAACATTTCAGGCAGTTTAATATCCACTTTTCCTTTGGTGCAGGTTTAAAGATATTTCTATTGGTGAGCCCTCGCTTACAATGGATGGTGTCACTGAAAAGATTGCTCCTCATACATGCCGCTTATCTGATATGACGTAAGATAGACTTCTCATTTAATTTGTACTGGATTGCACTTTATTAATCACAGTGGTGCGATTTGTGATTTTGTACTTTTGGTTTGTCCAATTTAATAAAAGTTACTTATTCGTTTCCCTGTTTTTATTCTCCTTTGGGTTCCATTTGGATGAAGTGATTTTAAATCTAGGGATTGAGATGACATTATAATTTGTTTGTTTAGACTAGTGCAATCTATCTATGCTAAGATTTGAATAAGAATATGGATTCCAAATGACTACTTGCATGTAATCATTTCAAATGTATTACATCTAGTTATTTCAAATACATTCAATCTTATGTTTTATAGTTATTATTATTATTATTATTTTTATTACAGCACATTTTGCTTTCTTGTCCAAATCCTGTCTTTCAAGTACCTTCATCCAAACGGAGCCTTGGTTTTGCATCATGTATACCTTGTGTAGCTGTGTCACATCCTGAATATTACTTAAAATGTATAATGAAATAGAAAAGAGACTAAACTGTACTGAGGTCTTGAAATTTATTGTTGGCTTAAACAAAAATTATACCGTGAAATATTAGGTGTGTTATGATTCTCTATATGGAGTTCCAAATTTGTAGGTTTTTTTTGTGAACTTTATTCTTAAAGAATTTTTTTTAATGAAAATTTATCTTGTTTGCGGTGATTTCTTATCCCTCTTTCTTTAATTTCAGATTAGTCGAAAATTGATTTTTGTGTCTGACAATTTCTCAAGCTGTAATTGTTCTTGAAATTTTTTTCCTTCTAGTGACAATGGTTGTTTTTTCGTTTTCTTTTTAAAAATTAGCGAAGGACATGGTCCTTGCAACTTTTAAAGTTTTTTTTTTTTTTTTTTTTTCTGCGTTGAACTTTGAAGCTCATGACCTTATGTGATGGTTTTCCACAGCTATTTATCATCTGTGTGTTCTTGGCCATAATTGTTGGTTGGGCTGCTATATTTACAGCTGAACTTTTTTTTCCAGATAGATGTATATGCACAGATGATTTAGGATTGTTGCAGTGCACTCCCTGTCCCATGTTTGTGTGTTTTTTTTAATGATAAATTTATTTATTTTTACTTTAAAAAATAGAAATTATGAACTTTTTGCATTTGTTGGCTGCGCTTCTCTGGGCCTCTATTATTGATGAAGTCTTTCTTTGTTTGCTATGCGTAGGGCATTATTGTTTGTAGACTGCACTCCATGGTCTTGAACAGTATTCAGTGTCATTCATGCATATTAATTAGTCAGTGGGTAATAATTTTCATTCAATCATAATAAGGATATTAACAGTTTAATATGGTATTGGAGTCCTATTGAAATCTCCCCCTGAATGCCAAAATATCCTTGCAAAATGGCTAATCAGATAACTTGGTTTTTGTTTTTTGATTTCATTTTTTTCCAAAGAATTCCACCTGATTATTGGATGAGAAAGGGGCCTCAGCTCCTTATTTGTCTGGTTGTTTATTTTTAAAAAAAACACAAGCCAGATGATGTCATTTGGGATGGGTACGAGTTTAAAACAAAAAGCTGGCATGGTGTAAGCTTTTGAAATTGAACAACATTATGGGAATATTCCTCTTGGTCAGTATGGGTCGTATCCTTTAAAACTTGCATTGTTTGAGTATATAGTATTTTATCGGTACCTTGTGGTAAACCTTTTTCTCTTCTGTTTGCAATTTAGACAATTATTGTCTGAAATACAAATCTCATGCCTATTTTTCACTTCCATGCACATAACTGAACCATATTGAATTTGATTTCTGTAAATTATAGGTATTCTGCTCCAATAAAAGTCGATGTAGAGTACATTCAAGGAAGTCATGATCAAAAGACTAGAGTGGAGAAGGTATTTAGAAATTGTTTCTAGACAGATTTATTTGAAAACATGTATTTGGATATAATATGAAATTTTTTTTTTTTTTTTCGGCAGAAAGGTGTCGTAATCGGAAGGATGCCTATTATGCTACGGAGTTGCTCCTGCACCCTGTATGGGAAAACCGAATCTGAACTTGCCAAACTTGGTTTGTGCAGAACAAAATAAAACTCACTTTGTTTCTTGCCCCCATTTTTCATCTCCATGCTTTGTTCTGCTCTATAATGAATGTGCATGTCTGTAGGTGAGTGCCCCCTCGACCCTGGAGGATACTTCATAATCAAGGGAAATGAGAAGGTAATATTCTCTCTGCCATAATCTGTTACTTTTCAATAAATGGGATGGTAACTGAACCATAATCTGTTACTTTATTATTATTTTTTATTTTTTTTCCGTTAAAAATAAAACAGTTGATGAAATAGCTGGGGCCCATGAATTTTCATTCCCTTCCATTTTTGAGCTATTTTGCCCGCACACACCCACACCCACACATACACACACACACATATATATATATATATATATGTATATGTATATGTATATGTATATGTATAT